GTTATAAATATAAGTTATAAGTATATAAAAATACATTGGAATTCAAGACCTGTTTTATTTTTTTAAATGTTTCGAGGTGTTTTATAGCAAACTTAATTTTATAAACTTGTTCGCACAAGAAAAAATCTAATTTATCAAATAGTAAATTTTTGTTCCTTTGTCAAAATTAACTGTTATTTTATAGAGTTAAATACCATACATATTTGGTCATCTTTTCTGCCTGTAGGAACGTTATTATAAACGACTATCTAAAATAAAATTAAATTAGAGTTAAGGAATTTGCTCGATGTTTTTTTTTCATTTTTTAATAGGTTGACAAAATCCAAATTTTTTTAATTGAAGTTTTGATGGAACAAACTAAAGCTAGAACAGAAAAATAATTAAAAAATTGTTGATCAAAAGTACCTAATAGGAATTCTTGGCCAATCCCAATCATTTACTGCTGTAATGTTGACGACTAATTGTCTTTTGTTGAATTTGATACTAGATAAATGATAAAAACACAAAAAACAACACCACAAATTAATTTTAAATTTACTGCTCAACTCCAAAAAAATCCATAAAAATATATTCAAAAAGCAGCTTTTGTTAGAAAATATTCAATACCGGAATATTACTAAAAATGATTTTAATTAACTTTTCGATAGAGATTTCCGAAAATCATTTTGCCAAAACTTTTTTGGTCATTTTTCCAGCGAATCAAGCCGCACCCGCGGCATTACCGTCATCATCGACGCCCGCAAAGGTCCTTGGAAAGTAGCTCGTTCATGTATTCGTCAAGTGAGCAACATCTTCACCGAGGAGGACCCTTCCCAAATCCTCGTTCTTCGTCCTGATGCATTTTGGGACAAGCAACGCGTGGAAAACTGCACGCAAACCGATGGCCAAGTAAGGATAATCCAAATCTAATCCCAATCATTAAAAACTTGCATTGATCTCTTAATAAATAAACCTCTTAAAAGTCGACAATTTGGGAGTATTTCATAACGCTGATAAGAGTGCATTTAGGCTCAAGGTAATTTTTAACCGGAGTTGTGCCACTTAGCACGTAATTTTATGAGACACATCTGTGTCTGCAACCTACTTTTTTCTCCTAAAGCCATATACAAAGAACTAACGGTTCGAAAGTTCTTCGACTGGTTTTGAGCATTTTTAAAAACCAAGAGAAGAAATTTCTTCAACCGGAGTAGTGCTTTCGCTGTTAATGAGGTAAATGCAGTGATTGAATAAATTGCAGCTTTTAGTCACGGCTGATAAGTCTGTTAGTTGGAAGAATCTACTTGTTTGGTCTTTTTGTCGACGGAAATGAACTAACTGAAAAACGACTACTTTAGATCACAGCTGAAATGAATTATTTATGAATATGTTCAGTGTCGTACACTTTCGAATAAATCATTCAGGTATTATTATTATTATAAATACATGCATGCATGATCTTTCACGATAAAGGGTTGGGTACCGGTGATTGTTTTTTTACACTGAAAAATAAATGAAAAAAATTGCTGGTACTGAATACAAATTATTTTATTTGTGTATTTTTATATTATTAATAGTTATTTAATATACAAAACTTTAAAGAAATTGTTTATCTACGAGTGAAAAGGTTAAGTTTACGAGTGACGAGTGGAGTTTTTTCACGAGCAGATAAACAATCTTTATCGTCGTGTATAATATTTCGTTTTATTTGTACTCACCTACCAGAATTTCTTGAATAAAAGACTACTTTATCTTAAATAAATAAAAAACTACTTTATCTATTGAAATTAGTTCATAAAATATAAACAGTAGGTAGGTAAAAATTACTTTATTTCACTAGACGATAAGACTACTTTATCTTCTGAAATTAGTTGATAAAAGCGCTCTTTAACATTGAGTACCAAATAAAATTAAATTTTATTATAGATTTTGCAAATAAAATTAGCTTTTTTAATACAACATACATTTCCGAGATATCTAGCTAAAAATGACTTATTGCAGTACTTACTATTTTAATGCACCATTGTGTAAAAATTCGTTTTAATAGTGTTTTGCAATTTTATTCAAGCAAATTCTTTATCAAAAACGGCAACAAAGCCATTATTATTTTCTCTGAAATAATGTTGACAAATTTTGTCTTTTGTTTAAATTTTGAACTTTAAAATTCGATGAAATAATTAGAAAGGGATTTTCAGACCTAAAAATTGTTTTTCTAACTACTCTCAGTATAAAGTTACAACAAATTTGTTAAATTGTGGGAGTTTGAACATGTTGAGAAAACTAATTTGTCAGTTTCTTCAGTGAAAATGTTTTCAGGAGAACTTTTTGTCAGAAGATTTTTAAATAATGTAGTGTTGTAGCACTTAAATAACAGAGTAACCTACTCCTATGTTAAAATTCTATTTTTTGTTAATTTTTTGTAATTTTTAGAGGGGTTATAAAATATGCTTGTTTAGGTACATTTTAAGGATTTTTGTTGCGTTTTTTGTGAATTTAATAGCAAATCATGTTTTTGATCTTTTTAAGTTTTTATTGCATTAACTTTTAGGATTTTTATATCTTAACAGATCAACTGATAAAACAAATCATTAGAAGATGTCATTTACAATATCTGATTTTCCTAGTAGTTTTTTTTATTTTTAACCTTATCGATAAGTGGGTCAAAAGTAACATACATAAAAAAAGATTATTGCTAGGTAGATAACAAGTGTTCAAAGGATAATTCAAAATGTTCTAGAACAAAACAAGTGGATATTACATCATTATTTTAATTATTAATTGGTACGCCACTGGTTTTACGTTATACCATAATTATAAGCACATTATGGCAAACTAAAAACTGTCACAGTGTATCCGCAAAACCAGTAGTCCCTCAAGCAGTGATTACATAATTTTTAATTAATTTATTGCAAGAAAATTACTGTGAGAAACTTGAAACTTAGTAAAAAATTTTTTTATTTATCATCATCATCTGTTTTTCAAAAAACAAATCATAATTTACGTAAATTGTGAAAAGATGACGCTCAATCGTTTGTAGTGGACAATACCGGTTATTGTTATGGAAGATTAAAAATTGATAATCTTACTAAAAATAATTGATAAAAATTGATTCTTCAACAATCCATGTCAAAAATTTCGGCAAAGTCCATCTGTAAAGTTCAAGTGGTTCCAGAGAACATAAACAATAAATGAATGCAATTTTCCTTGACGATCCTCTGTAATTTGCAATCAGTTACACACCTAAGGCCGGGGTCATATGGGCGCTAGAGACGTTACAACATTCAAATAACTGTTGATAATTGTATACTGAGCGTTCATTAAATTTGACGCCCGGAAGGACACTGGATACTTGTAGAATGTGCGACACTGATGAATGAGAAGTGTTTCCAGGATGTTTCAACATTCAACACGCCTCTTTATCTAAGGAATTGCTGTCTTAAATTTATCTTTATGACAGAAATGTCTTTATAGTAACCTAAAATATACAAAACTGTTGAAAATTGTTGCCCAAAAAGAGTAAACAATGTATATTTACGATAAAGAACATTTTACAAGAGTTTTCAAATAGTATCAGATAAAAGTATGGCGCCATCAGAAAAAAATGAAGAAGATAATTGAAATATTTTTTTGTATGAATATACATATTAGATCATAACAGAGATACTGGCTGGGGGCCTGGTGGTACAGTGACATAAGATCCTGTATCCGGCAGGTAGGTCTAGGGTTTGAACTTCGATAGAGTCAGCAATTTTTCTCTGCAAAATTGATTTTTAAAAATTTTTGTCTCAATTTTCTCGGTAAATCGCAAAATATTCACATACCTAAAATAATACTCCATACGGAGTATTATTTTAACAAAAATAGAGCTTATCTTAATTACCGATTTGTTAATAAATGGAAAAATATTGCTCATTTTAAGGAAATTAGTTAAACTAGATAATAGAAAATTGTGTTATTGTGTTATTATTTTGTTGTATTTTGTGATCAAATTTTGATTTTTGATTTCATAAATAAAGAAATCAATTTGATATTTTAAAGTTATTCCAATAAATTTTATACCTAAAATTTCAACATACGAAGGTTACTCTGTTATTTAGGTGCTAAAACACTACATTATTTAAAAATCTTCTGAAAAAAATGTCAAAAAGTTCTCCTAAAAACATTTTCACTCAAAAAACTGACAGATTATTTTTACATAATGGTGCATTAAAATAGTAAGTAAGTACTGCAATAAAAGTCATTTTTAGCTAGATATCTCGGAAATAATTGTTGTATTAAAAAAGCTGACTTTATTTGCAAAATCTATAATAAAATTTAATTTTATTTTATACTCAATGTTAAAGAGTGCTTTATCAACTAATTTCAGAAGATAAAGTAGTCTTTTATCGTCTAGTGAAATAAGGTAGTACCGATTTGTTAATAAATAGAAAAATATTGACTATTTTAAGGAAATTAGCTAAGCTGTTGCAGATAATAGAAAATTGTGCCATTGTGTGATTATTTTGTTATCATACGGTGTATTATTTTCGAAAATATAATTTATCTTAATTATCGATTTGTTAATATATGGAAAAAATATTGCTTATTTTAAGGAAATTAGTTAAACTATATAATAGAAAATTGTGTTATTGTGTGATTATTTTGTTGTATTTTGTGATCAAATTTTGATTTTTGATTTCATAAATAATGAAATCAATTTGATTTTTTAAAGTTATTCTAATAAATTTTATACCTAAAATTTTTCGTCGGTCGTTGCAAAAAGTATTTAACATCTTTATCTTGATCGTGGGATAAAGTGTATCGTAAATTTCGCAAACTTGTTTATTATCTTTCACCTTAAGTTATTTTCTTCATCGAAACCATCATTTCTTCTTTCCGCAAAGCGCTCAATGACCACCTGCTCGCATCCACTCTCCAATCCAATAAAATCAATTTTCATTAACAGGTCGTCTTCATTCCAAGATGTCGCTTAAACAAGTTCGTGGACCAGTCGCAGCTTCCACTCGAACTCGGCGGCAATTTCATCTACAACCACGACAAGTGGATTGAAAACAGACAAGTATGTCCTTTTTTGCCGTCAAACGTGGCGATTTTCACCAGATTTTTCAGAAAATCGAAGAATTTTCAAAAGAGGCAAACGCAGTTTTGAGGGACTTGGACGAGCTTTGCCAGTACATAACCAACCACAAGCATAATAGATCAAGCGATTTAGAAGAGATTTTGAACACGAGTTCCGAAATGGCCGAAGCGACGCGAATCCTAGTCCAGAATTTGACCGAAACGGGACAACAACTCCTCCAAACCATAGAACACTCGAATAGAACTCGAAAATTCGCTTCGGAGTTCGAGTCAATGTCCACGCCGCAGGAAACCCTCGATACCATCACTCGTATTGACCATTTAGTCGTCACCATGAAGACCAAACAGCAACAAATCGAAGATTCGTGGCTCAAACTTCAGAAAATAGTCATCGATACCAAAGACTTGAGTTTGCTTGAAGACGGCGTTGTTAAAGTCACCAATTGGATCTTGGGACCTGCTGAAAATTTGCTCAATTCGAAACAGAGAGTGGGTTATGATGTGGCTTCAGCCGAGGAGTTGAGGAGGGAGCATGAAGCGATTGAACTGCAATGTTGGGACACTTACGGAGCTTATGCCGAACTCATTCACAAGATTAATAGTTTCCCCAAGAACGAATTAGTGGATTTTCAGTATAAAGATTTGGTTTCGCAGAAGGATTTTATGGATTTTGTTTGTCGGAGCTTTGCGTTGAGGTTGGAGAAGAGGAGGAATGTTCTGATTACGTCGCTGAGGTTCTTCCGATTGGTTTCGGAGTATTTTGACAGGACAGGAGAAGTGTTTGATTCCTTGGTGATGGGGAGCAAAGTTGTTGATTTTACTACAGCGGGGCAAAAATTGAAGCAATTGCAAGAGAGTCAAGCTAACTTAGGTATGCTTCATTTCAGCAAAATTTTGAAAAAAATCAGACGTTCTAATGGTGCTTTGGGTCGTATTTTTTTGGATTTTTAAAGTGTGAATATCTAAGAAATCGTAATAATGATAAATCAATTAAAAAACGTACAAAATTTGTTTATTTTGACGTAAAATTAGATTAGATTAGAAATTAAATCACAATGCCATCAGTTAAAGTGCTCTGCGAGGGGTAATTTGTGATATTTCCAGCTATTTTGAGCAGTCACTAGAAAAAATTGATTTTTCTGAGTTTTCGAAAGTGTAAAATTCTGTTTTTTTTTTTTTTTAATGGAAATGCCAAACAGTCTTAACGTTGGCACCACTAGTAAATTCATTCATGGTAATGTTAATATAGGAAGTTGGCAGTTTCGGTTTTTTGAATTAATTTGAAAAGAATGTCATTATAAGTCAACACAAAAAATCGTCTAAGAAAATTTAGAGACGAAATATCAAAAAAGGAACACATTCGGAACCGCTAACAGTTTTTAGAAATTTGGAAACAAATAGTTTGCAAGCACGAAGTTAGAAAATGGGCCCGTTAAAATGTAGACGCAATTTGTAATGCAGGTTTGCTAAACATTCTCAATTTTTAGCAAGAAATTCACAAGACCACAAAATAAACATGAATGAGGAAAAACCTCGGAAAGAACGCAATTATATTAGTGTCTTGTGCATCGTTTTTGAGGAACGAGTTGAAAAAGTAACAATTTTGAAACAAAAGCTGAAGACGAATTTATAAAGTGCATCAACTTTGAGCTCATTTCAATAAATTAATAAACAAAATTTCTTGTTAATCATCATAATACCTACTTGTATCTTTTGCTAATTAACTTTTTTCTGTAAATGCATCCCTTTCCTTCAAAGTTTTTGTAGCAAGAACCTCATTTTTGTCCACAATATTGTACTTATTTGCAATGTGTTTCTATTAAAATTATTAGCATTGAATTCTGTCTTTAGACCTTAGATAAGAATGTCTGTCTTCAGGTATTCAATTATTATAGCGCTTTCAAAGAGAAAACAGGCACACAAGATTCATAAAAGTCAAAATTTTGACAACATCTCAATTTTAAAAAATAACCATAATTTTTAAAAAAAATTCTGGGGACAAAAACAAAGAAAAACAAAATTTGTGGCTATGGAGACAGCTGCTACCAATTTTTTCACCAAAATTTTTACTTGGTAATTTCTCCTTGAATTTTTTTACTTTGTAATGTTAGATGCTGTTGAACGCGAGTTGGTCAAAGAAGGTGAAAAACTCTCCGACATGCTTTCAATGCCCATCAAAGACGCCCTGGGCCGTGAAATTTTCGTCGACTATGCTGAAGACATCGTCAACGTCCGAGACATCCTCGACGCGACCACAGCCCGAAAAAATATCTTCAGCGATAGCGTCGAACTCCAAAAACTAACCCTTGAACAAATCACCCACATTTACAACTATGAGAAAGATGTTGCTCAAGCCATCCAATGGCTCGACGAGCTTTTCCAAGTCTTGCTGAAAGATCACGGCCATGTCGGATGCACAGTTTACGAAATTCAGACACAGAAAGATGAACATCAGACTTTTCAAGAAACTGCAAAGGTGAAATTTTATCTCCAACTTTCTATTTCTTTCTAACTATTTTTTTTTTCTTTAGGACACTTATAATTACGGTTGTCAATTACTTTACGCCTCTCTCCAGTTACGTCAATCGTGCAAATTGTCTTTAGACGACCATGAAACTCTTAGTGAAAGATTGAAGTACTCGTGGCAACGACTTTTGGGTGTTTCACAAGAACAAATGACGAGATTGAGGGTCAGTGCTGTGTTTCATCGTTCGGTTGAGGAGCATTGTAATCAAATGAGGGATTTGAGGGAGGCTGTTGCAACCATACCGCTCATGGATTTGGTGAAGAAGAAAGCGAGAGTGAAGCATTATTTTGGAGTGAGGGAGAAGTTGATGGTTGAGGTGGGGAGGATGGTGAGGTTGGGACGATTGTTGAGGAGTCGATTGAGGGAACCTTTGTATTACAATGAAACGTAAGTGGAAAGTAGAAAACCCACACTACATAAATGTGAGTTTTTGAAATTTTGAATAAAATAGTTTTTGAGTTTTGAAACTGCGTCTCAAATATTGATCCTCTGTTGGCACTCCCGATTTAAGTAGATTAATTTTAAATTTGCAAACAATACGTAATCGATACAGAATGCGATTGGTTCTATTTCAGTGCACTTTGCAATTGTTTATTCATTTGGAAATAACAAAATAAATTGCAAAAAGTTATTTTTAGCCTAAATGATTGATTGATTGGTCTATTTTCGGTCGATTGAGTGGTTTGGCACGTGAAAAAAATTGCCAAAGAATCAATTTTCCACATAAAAGCACCCACAAATGAGAACTATTCTCGCTCTTAAATTTTACGTCGGTTCACGTTTATCTACTTTCGTGTCTAATTTTGAAATTTAAGTAGTGGGGCCGGCAGACACGCCAGTGGCGGCCAAACCGGCCCGAGTTCAACATCTTTTGGTAAGAAGATTTTGTTTCGAATTGATTGATTTGAGTAACTAGTAGATTTAAAATCTCACATTAGTTGTCTAACAATTCGAAAAGTGGCTTTTTTTGTAAGAAGTGAGCATTTTGTTGACTTTACTCGAGAAGTACCACCTCCGAGTTCAGTTTTAGCATCGCCCACGTAATTTTCATGTTTTGAGAGAGATAATTATTACGTTTGTGAACGCCTGAACATTCCAGCTTTTTTAAAACTTCTTACTTTTTTAATTATAAATTAGAATTTTGACATTTTTTAAATTGGTTGTAATTATTTGTTATAACAAAACTAATAAAAATATAACTCTAACATTGACCCTATGAACGGAAACCAATATCTTTTTTTCCATGTGCCAAGTAGATGTTTCTGGATTATTTAGGAATTTTAAATTATGTAATATAAGTGAAAAATTGTGGTTTTATTTAAAGAAAACTGGAATGCTGTGGTAATAATAGTACATTATGATTGAAGTGGAAAATATGTCAATACCCGAGGGCTCAGATATCCGATCAAAATCTGTTTTCTGTCAAAGTGGATTTTGGTAATCCTTCATAAATTACTTCCTGACCACGGGATGTAGGTACCTAATGACAAATTTCCCGACCTCCAAACAGTTGGGAATCAGCATATTACTACAGTGATTGGGAATAAAATGCACTTAGTTAATAAACATAGAGGGTGATTCAAAAGGGTCGGACTAATTTTGGAATGGTGATAGAAAAAAAACCAAACTGACAATTTCTATATTATCATGTGTTGGATTTAATTTATTATATTTTTTGTACACTATAAGACACAAATTTGTGTTTTTTTTTGACAAGTATCTGTTCAATAATGCAAGAACTGCCATTTCTATTAACTACATTTTTTGAATCATCCTATATGTCGGGAGGATATATTATTATACGTTAGAAAAATGTGTATAACATAATAATAAACAAACTTGCTTTTATCTAGCTTTTTTATTTTTTATTTTTTTCATAAACTGGGTCATGGTTCAGTGGTAAGTACCTATATGTTGTCGATAATGTAAACGTAAACAAAGTTACGTTTTTACATTTATTGTGATAGAACATTTTATCGAAAAATCTGTATTTTATTGTTTTAAATTCGTATAAACCTATTAAGAGTATGTTCGTAACAAATGCATAAACCTCTCCAACCCATCAGTAGCGAAAACATTTTCAACATAAAATTACAAAAATACTTATTTTTTAACATTTAGTGTTTTTTTATTATTAATACTGAATTTCGGTTTTCCTTTAATCATTTCTGGAACAAAGTAATCTAAAAATGTTTTAATTTAAGTATCATAAATAAAGAAAAGAAAAAACAATCACATTCTTAATGTTGCTTAGTTTCTTGAACTGTTTGATTTTACAACAAATAAATATTCTTACCGACCATTTTTGTTTTTTTTTAGTTCACTAGTAATAATTCAAATTATTAAATAATAAAGTAACTTTTTGCTATTATTTATGTCACAGTTGTCTAATAGCAGACATACATAGAGTGAATGTTGAATGAATAATAAGCAGGGTTAAAAATGTCAATAACTTACCTGTCGTTTATGTTTAAGTTCCATAATATTCCATTGTCAATCCTGTGTCCTGAAAAAAAAATACAATTAGTGACTTTTATTCATATGAAAAATGAGTAGTCAAAAGAAACATTTTGCAAGTCAAAAAAAAAATGTGCTAATATAAGCAAGCCTCTGGTTTAATAATAAGAAAAATTTTGAATATCACATTTTAAAAAATGTGTGTCAGAGTGGAGTTATTGCTACTCGTTACTAAACTTTATTGTATTGCAATTTTGTTCCAGTTTGTCTATTTTTCTTTAAACCGTTCACGTAATTAGCCATAGTTGACGTTTTGCTCCATTAACTCCGCTAATAAATTATCGCAATTACACTTTCAGTGCGTCAAGTCCTTCCATCGAAACCGATTTAGGTTCAGAAGAAGGCACCGAATCAGGCGGAGACAACGAAATCGCTATTGAAGCCATCTCCGAGCGACTCACCGAAGTGACAGGATTGGCTGAAGAGCTGGATCAAGCCCTCCATAGCGCTCAACAAGACTGCTCAATTCTGACCTCATCGGCCACTTCCACATCGGTCACTTCTTCCGAACCCGAAACTGTGGTTTCTGTGAAAACAGTCATGGAAGAGGTGGGTTTAAGTAACAAAAAAAAATGGTTTAAAACCTAAAAGTCAACATGTTTTATTGCGAACAAATATACAACAACAATATTATACAACATAGGTAGCAGAGCATCAACAAATCATTCCATTAATCCCATTAATACTGTTCTTCAGTTGCCGCCAATACCGAAAGAGCCTATTCCCCCAGAGTGACTGTGTCCTTCGTACTTTATCCTGTAGTCAGCACCGTGTTTGCCAGCGCGGTATTTCACAGTCCTCCTTCTGCCATCAGGCTGGATGAGACTGTATTCACCTTTGACTTCTTTCCCATCTCTGTGTTCCCATTGATGGTGGAAATCATGGGTGTGGTGGTCGTGGACGTTGTAGTCGTAGTGGTAGCGAGGGCGTGCCCTATAATCGATGTACTCCTCCAAGTGGTGATGACCGTAGCCTTCTTCGCCCCCTTGGGCTGAGACTGAAGCTACCGCTAGGACTAGAAGGGCGAGAACCTGCAAAAAAACACCTCAATTCCCTTTAATTCCCAAACTTTTGCTACTTACTGCTCCACCGTGCATTGTGACCTATGTTGCTGGACCTGAGTTGACTGCCATTTGCAACATTCGCCGGCTATTTAAACCGAATTTGTCTGTGAAAGGAGGCCCAATTTGCATTTCCTTCTCGGTAATTGCAAATTCATGAATATGTGTTGGCAAATAATTCGCAAACTTTGGAAAAACACCACGCCCGGGGCCCCTATCACCCTCCAATTGAATATAAAGGAGGATCCTGATTTACTATCCAAAGACGAATAAAATTTTTTCCTTGTCTGAACCCAAATCAAGATGAAATAAAAAACTGTTTATTTTTTATTAAAACAGCATATCTCTCATTTGTGTTTTATCAATGACGAATTTTTTGTCAAAAATAATATACAGATGAATCGCTTGAGATGTTTTTTGACAACTACTATTTTTTTGTTTTTTTTAATATCTGAACACTCCAATTCTTTTTTACATTCTTTTTTAAGTTTTTTTCTATCAACATATGGATAATTTCAATAATTTCAATATTTTTTTTTTTAGAAATGATTTTTGATTTACGACATATGAGTCTTAAAGGAGGATCCTGATTTTACTATCCAAAGACGAATAAAATTTTTTGCTTGTCTGAACCCAAATCAAGATGTAATAAAAAACTGTTTATTTTTTATTAAGACAGCATATTTCTCATTTGTGTTTTATCGCATTGGTGAACAATGACGAATTTTTTGTCAAAAATAATGTACAGATGAATCGGTTGAGATGTTTTTTTGACAACTACTATTTTTAGATTTTTCTTTTAATATCTGAACACTCCAATTCTTTTTTACATTCTTTTTTAAGTTTTTTCTATCAACATATGGATAATTTCAATAATTTCAATATTTTTTTTTTAGAAATGATTTTTGATTTACGACATATGAGTCGTAAAGGAGGATCCTGATTTTAGTATCCCAAGACGAATAAAATTTTTTGCTTGTCTGAACCCAAATCAAGATGAAATAAAAAACTGTTTATTTTTTATTAAAATAGCATATTTCTCATTTGTGTTTTATCGCATTGGTGAACAATGACGAATTTTTTGTCAAAAATAATTTACAGATGAATCGCTTGAGATGTTTTTTTGACAACTACTATTTTTTGTTTTTTTTTTTTTTAATATCTGGACACTCCAATTCTTTTTTACATTCTTTTTTAAGTTTTTTCTATCAACATATGGATAATTTCAATAATTTAAATTTTTTTTTAGGAATAATTTTTGATGTATGACATATGAGTCGGGAAAAGTACCACTTTATGGCCTATTTCAGAAAAAATATCGTGTTTTAAATAAAATTTCTTTTAATTTCGTTTAAAAGATTTGTTGATTTTTCAAACTCGGCTTTATTTTCCAGTCGAAGACCCCCAAACCCGAAGAACTGAAAAGCGACGACGAATTCCTCACCGCCTCCGAATGCACTCTTCAACACTCCCGATCCTCGTCCTACAACACGGCCTCGGAATGCGAGCATCGCTACTCGCCTTGGTGGGACTACGACAAGTCCAGCGAGGAGGCAAACAAGGAAAAAATGGTCCTTGCAGTGGGCCTCCCGGATTTGCCTCCGCCCAAAACTGTCCTGAAACCCTCCCCGGAGGCGCCTCCGGGAAAAATCGTCCACGAAGTGATCGAGACCACCCACCTCAAGGTGCAGCATTCGCACACTTTGGGGGTGGCATCCTTCGTCCTGACCTCCGAGACTGTCAGAGACGGGAAAGGGGAGGAAGTCAGGGGGGCGCAGGCCGAGGTCGAGGGGTTTGAAAAGAGGGTGAAGGAGGTAAGTGGGTTTGAAGACGAGTGGAGGATGTGCACGGCTAAGCAAGCAATCAAGGGCTTTATCTAATTTTGGAAAATGAATCAAGTGATTGGTCCGTGCCAATTGTTTCGTAATTTAGGCTTAATTAACCAATCGCCGATTATGTACTTGGCTCATTACAGCTGCGAAAGTGTATGATTTTTTGTGAATTAATTGTCTTAACCCAAGTTTGCCATAGAAAGCTGGTGCATTATGCACGTGCCGTATTTCCATATGTATTTGTTATTATATAATAATTAACATATTTTTCGAGTGATAAAAATGATTTTCGTACACTGTTACCGCGCAAGGCTGGGAAAAAAATCATTTCTGTCGCTCGAGAACGCAGTCATGTATATAGTGGTGTTGATTTTTTTTATTTTATTTTATTTTAATATATGTTTTTTCTTGTGCATGCGTTTTACTCGAACCTGATCTAATTTTAAAGTGGTGAGAGCGGCCAAATTTCAATTTTATTCAAAACGTCTGTGGGACGTCTCTGATAGAAATACCTATTTTTAGTCACTGAAACTCGTTTTTAGAAAAAAAATGTTTGAACTGACCTCTTCTTCGCTTTTCAACACTTTTCGGAAATAGAACGACAACAAACGTGACATTAATCCAACAGGTGTTTATTAAACAGATATGGAATCTCTTACGTAATATTAATTTTAAAATTGCGGGCGATAAATCTGGCGAATTTGTGCCAAAATTCTTAAATCGAGGCCGGTATTAAATGGGTCGGAGTCCGACGTATGAGATTTGTTCATTATTGGACGTGTGAGTAGGCAACCAAATACTCGATTAATCATTGTATTTGTCTAAAAATACTACGAGAATTTGTAATTCTCTCAGCCGAATAATAACAAATTATAAATTTTGGATATTTGTGTACAATATTTTTGCACATCTGGTGCCAATGTTTCAATTCTAAGTTGCGAAAGATGAAATACAAAGTTGTTTTTAAGTCACTGCCAGATGGGAGATGTTTTTGAAATTTTTGTTCACCGAGATTCAAAATAATAATACATAAATGAGAAAAGTTCTTTAATTTTTATAATTAAAAAAAAATTGCAAAAAGGCTTCAAATTACCTAGGTAAGTATGAACATTCAATTTTTTTTTAAATAAGTCACTCTAGAATAGAAAAAAAGCTGATACAGAATTCTCTACATACATTAGACAAAATTTTGAAAAAAAATTTTTTTGAAGAAGCAATAAAATATTAGTCATAGTCCAAGAATGAAACATATCTTTTAAGTGCTAGGAAAAGTCATCTTTTGACAACTTAAACTTATTCCGTCGTAAAAGTAAAAAACGATATACAGCCTTTATTACCTTTTTTTTGACATTCAGTACTTTATCACAACTGAAAAATTAATCATGAAAGTACACAATGAAAAAGACGTTAAACTATCAATTAATAGTTGGAATAACTGTTGTTAGACAAGCAGAAAGTATGTTTCAGCATGAAACATATACAAGATTTTTTTGTAAGTGTTAATTATGATCCAAAAGTTAGCCTTTATAAAATACATGACGTCATATAAAAAAGCGGACGTACAATTTTATATACAAGGTGTTTTAAAATTCGCAAAATAGCTTTATGATATTATTGTATGAAGTACAGGGAGCATGGAAAAAAATGTTAAAAAATTTCTACCCATTAAATTTTCTTGTTTTTCTGAATTTCCTGACCTTTGATCTTACAGGGTGTTTGTTTTTATTGTTACAACTTGAATCAGGTCATAGAGTATTCAATTTTAAAACAAAAGTTTTCTATAAATATGTAGAGAAAAATACTTTGTACGGGAGGAGGGGGGGCGTGGTCTAAACCATTGAAAAAGTGTTTTTTAATGTTTTTTTTAATATTTTAATATTTCAGAAATCATTTAAATGAAATTACAAAATTTGGCACAGTTGACATCCTTTAGACGCATTCAAAAATAAAATGTCAAAATTTTTATTCAGGAGTGTCTTAAACTGGGTGGTATAGGGTAAAAAGTGCCTTAACAAAATTCCAAATTTCATAGTGCTATACAAAAAACTGGTCTCTTATGTTGTTTCAATAATACTTATAGAGAATTAAGAATGATTTTTTTAATATTAATTTCTTTTTTTAGAGCTGTGTAGGGAACTTTAATTTTATTTCGGTTAATAGCATTTATGAAGGTGGAATTATCATATTCTGAGCAAAATCAGTTAAGAATGTTACAAACCATAAACACCATTAAAATTTAAAATTATTTTTCCCCTATATCGTTCCAATTTAAGATGCCCCTGATTAAGAATTGAGACATTTTTTCTTTGAATTTGTTTAGGTGTATAAAAGATAAGAGATTATCAGTTGTACTAAAAGTTGTAATTTTATCCATTCTGAAATAACTCATTAAAAAAGGCACCCCTTTAAAATTCTTAAAATTAAATTGATTCATGTTCAAAGAAAACTCTTTTGTCTTAAAATTGAATATTCTACAGAGTGGCCGGAAATTGCTCACCTCCGTGACACTGTATCATCGGGCTATGCCTTAGACAACAAGACAAATGTTAAAAAAAATATCTATAAAAATTTCGAAGTTATGAGAGTTTAAATTTTGTACTTTAACTTTATTTATTTCTATTGGAAAAATAATTTTCCATTTTTTTTGCTACAGGCTATTAGAAGAAAAAACAAGGAAGCTGTATCTTAAATTGTAACTCTGTTTAGTGTTATTTGTGGCTTTTATTGGCAAAATTTTTGTACTTTTACTAAATAATTATAAAAAAAACGTATACAAGATTATCAGTATCATTAAATAGGCATAAAAATATGTCAAATCTCAAAAAATATATGTCAAAATTTTCTTGACAGATAGAATTTTTTTTACATTTTTTCAGTACTCTGGGGGACTATCCAATTACTTCTTTTCAAGGAAGTGCGCGAATTTTGAGACACCTTTATATCACCTATTTATATTTGTGACAATATCCTGTGTATGTTTTTATTTATTGTTAAGTTGTTCTGCGAATTTTGCGAGATACTGTATAACATCGCTTAAAATTAAATAATATCTACCTATACCTAGAAACAGTGTTTAAATTCCATCCTCTGAAATATCTTTCAGATTTTCATCTTTATTAGTTTTAGTGATACAAAGCTAACTTGATTTTTTGAATAGCACCAGAAGCCGAATTTATCTAATATTTTGGAAAAGAGTATTTTTTTTTTAATTTAGTAGTGTAATGACACATTTAAATTAAAAAATAGTACAAGTTGAAAATTATTCTGCTACTAGTAATCTACATATTTTGTAAAGAATTAATACCAAAATTTAGAAGAAATTAGGAAAATTAATACTCGCCTATATCCATACTTTTTAGCAGATCTGTATACGAAATATTTTTGGCAATAGGTCGTTAAAAGTCAGTTTCCTTGCGTAATAAAAATTCTCAAAATATTAACAAAATGGTGTTAAAATAGTACTATAATAAATAATAATATAATCCTGTGGCACAGGCTGTTTCATCTAATAAAATAACGAGCGTTACAAAAATCTAATAATCCAAAAAGCATCTTAGGTGAATCAGCTTGCATTGATAAATAATAGGATCTAGGAGTGCATGAAAAAAAGCATATTCCTGTCGCCCCCACCCTGTTCTCAGGTTCAATACCAATCCTGCTATCGGCAATCCCCTTGCTTTCCTATCCAAGCAAGCTATGCAACCAATTGTTGATCGCTTCGACGTCATCTCCGTCGCCGTCCTTCCACACATGCTAAACAAACAGGCCAAACAGAAGGGAACAGACACGATGTGGTCATCGTAACGCTGCAGTTATGAAGCCGACCAACATTTTGGTTCAGTGTGTTTTCGCGGCTCCGTCGACGAGGTTCCTTCCTAGCGAACGACCGAAATAACCAATCCGCCACCAAAACCGTAAACCATTGACGCGATCTGTGAAATGTGTCTGTGATTTCGAAAAATGGATACCAAAGCCCAAAACGGAGAGGCCGCTTCGGCCATGGCCAAAACCACAACCATCAGCACCATTGCTGTGCAGAGCGGCAGGACCAGAATTGTCATTGCTTTACTACATGTACGTCATTATTGCTCATTGAGAAATGCCGCCAAGTCGGCCAGATTTGACCCAATTGATTTTTGTACAGCAATTGGGATTTTTGCACCAAAAATTCGCGTTGGACCGGTGCCAGAGCAACTATTTTCGGATTTATAACCATTTGACGTTCATCGACGAGATTTTTTCGTTATGTAATCGCTAATTCTACAAATTTTTTAACTCACTGTGTACACAGCAAGTGGCTCTCGTTAAGATCCAGTCTAATTAATTAGCCCATTTGCATAAACTTTGAGGTGTTAATACCTCCAAAAACTAGTTTTGTTTGTTGATTCGTAATGAATTGGTTTTATTAGACGACATTTGAATTAAATGTTTATTTTGTTGTTCATTCATTCGACGATTGGATCTTTGGTTGAGTTTCTGAGAAATTGTTGTAATTGTTTCATTAGAAGTCGCTCTATTTATAAACTTTTTGATTAAGAGGTGAAATGAGAAGAAATAATTTTCAAAGCAACTTAAAATAGTACTCGCCTGATTTGATGTTTAATTTTATATTTGCCAATAAAGTGCTAAAAACGAGGATAAACATCTTTCTGGCTCATTTAAATATTAATAACGCTTTTATGACTCTTTACAGTAGCTACTCGTTATTAGTGAACTTTAATTGCATACAAAATTAAAACTCAATTTTTTATTTAAATACATTTATTTTAATCTGTTTCAGTTTTAATAAGTTTTTGAGAAAAACATAATATTTGTTAGGTATTTGAATTGAATTTGAATTTGCATTTTTCCGATTAAACTTTCAACTAACTTTAATGTTTATTATTATTTATTATTTAATTAAAATAAGTTTATGCTCGAAAAATTATTGTAATTTTAATAAAATCATACAAATAAATTTTTATTGTTAAAAGATTACTGTT